ACAAGCCTGAACAATATTTCATACTAAGTAAGGATGAGAAATAGCTACATATTAGAACTAATAAAATACTACCACGAAACCAGACACTATACTCTAAGACGAACCCTTACTGTTTAGTCCAACCACTTAGGATTAATCTTATATATTATTCATCAAACCTAACACTTTTAAGGAAACTGAACGTTAAAACAATATAACCGGATTATGTACAGAAACTATTATCTGATAATAACCGAACATATTTTTAAACCTATTACACTTACAAAGTCTAACTCTAGTATAAGAATGAATCGTTACCAAAGACTCTATTCTGATAATACCAACCATTATTCCAGAACCACTTACACTAGGAGGCCGACCACTCAACTAAAACCGAGCGGTCATACTCAGATAAAACCCAAGGAATATAATACTCATTGAAATCTTACCGTTTTGACCATGACCGAGCGGTCAACATCGAATACTCAGTTTTCTACATAATTTTGCAGAACCCCTACAGACTTATACAGAACCACCCCCAAAACCCATGAATATAACAATTCACACAAACATATATAAATCATCAAATCATTCAATCTCACACATACAAGAATCATCACACAAACAATTAAATTAAATATCTTCCCTTACTTCATAACAGAAGAAACACTCACAGTACAGAAATTTGCCCAACACCAAAATTCTCAAAAGCCAAGATTCACTGTTTGAGGAAAACAGACCAACCACAAGACCAAAAACGTGATCAGAATCTTAGAAGAAGAAGAAGATAAATACATGCAAACAAAAACTTGGTTTGCATGTGCCAGAAACTAGATCTTCTTAGAAATAGAAAGACCTACCAGCTCAAACCACCACTTGATCGTTTGAAAATAGTACTCCTGCTACCAGCCAATCTTAGACACAATCTGATGAATGATCAGATGAAAAGAAGTGAGAATTTGTAGAGAAAAGGAGATAGTTTAGAAGAATTTAGAGAGAAGAGGAGAAAATGAGAGTTCAGAAAGTTGGGGAGAAAGTGCATGCAGAAAGTGCACCAGATTTGAAATTTTTCTTTAATAACTACCGTAAAAAACCGTCGGTCACCTACTGCTCACACTTGTCTTCCACTTTCTGATTTTGAAATTCTCACCCCTCCACCTTGGCTTCCACTTCTTCTACAAGAATTTAAGGGTTTTTTGACACTTTATACTCATCATACTTGGATTAATTTTTCTTTATACTGAAATTAAATACTCTGTTTCTTTTATATTCATCATAAATTAGTTAATTGTTTCCTTATACTCTGTTAAATAATTTATGCATAATTTAAATAATTACATTCATGTTTTCTTTATATTTGTTAAATATAGTGAAAAACTATATATGAGATTAATCTCCCTTATGTTCAATATACACATAGAGTCTTCTATTTATAATAGAAGAAATATGGGCTAAGCCTAAAATATAAATAAAAATAATAACATACTAACTAAAGTAAAAAGATAAATATAAGATAAAGATAATCTAACACTTCCCCTCAAGCTACCAAGCTTGTTACTAATATAATTCATCAAGTCGTAGTGAAAATATATGCTTCTGCACCCGAGTGACACCAAAGTGCTAATGATTTCAAGACAACATTAGAAGACACAATACCAACTCAAAGACTCCCCCTTAGCAACAAATATGGGAGGTTCTCCATGTAAATCTCTTCTGCAAATCGTCGTTGAGCAATGCCACTAGTGGATAAGGGTAATTGTTGGAGAGTCACCACACTATAAATAACTAAAAAAACCATATTTTCCATGGAAAAAGAAGCATATATGAATGGGTCAAACACAATTGTGACAAAAGAGAGGTCAAAAAGAGACAACAACAGAATAAGTCGTGGATGAATAGGAGAGAGAAACTATAAAAATCCCAGATTCTTTAATCAAAACACCTGAAAAAGGAAAAAGAGCAACCTAGATGCTCTAAATAGCTGCTTGAGAGGAGATGAGACGTGCAACAACACATGATGAACCTGAATGAGGAAACGAGCAACCTCGACGCTCTAATACTTACTAGACATCCACCATGCGCGATGGAAAAAAGGGAGCAAATCCATACTTAAAAGGCGCTGAGAGGCGTGTAAGAGCTTCGGTAAAGGCGTCGTAATGGCATGGTGGTCGCTTGGTCGAGAAACGGTCAAACCATGGTGATCGTTGGTCGAAACTAGAAACTTTGGTAGTGACAACTGTAGACGATGGCGCCGACAACGGTAATGGCGTGTCGTTGCGGTGACGGGGTTGTAGGACAGAGGCAACTAGAATTTTTTTTTACTCAAAAGAACCCTGGCTTTAGATATCACTGTACAATATAGTGAAAACTATATATGATTAATCTCCCCTTGTGTTCAATTATACACTATATCCTCTGTTTATAATTAGAAGAAATATGGGCTACGTCCAAAATAAATAAATAATAATAACAAACTAACTAAAGATAAAAGATAAATATAAGATAAAGATAATATAGCTAACAATATTCATCACAAATTGGATCCTCTTTATAGTCAATTGAAATAATTTACATCATAAATTAGATTTGTTGTTTAATTTATATACTGAATTTAAATTTTTTATATTCATTATAAATTGGATCAATTTTTTCATTTATAATACTATAAACAAAACAATTTATACTTAATTATACTTAATTTAAATAATTTAAATAATTTAAATAATTACTTGACTTGACTTGACGTCTAATTTCGAAACATACAGGAAAATTCTTCATAAAGTTGAAGCTGAACAAACATCACATGATAATGTTGGCATATATGAAAGCAGGAGTGAGAAGAACTTAGATCATAAATGGTTTGCAATGTTGAATATTTGGATTGAAATAGTTATTTTGACCAGAAATGAATCATGAGTACATGAGCATTCATTATTTAATTCAATGTCTCATGTTATTCACATTGAAAAGGCTTGAAGTGAGAGCACAGGTGGGAAAAAGGATTCATCGAAAGTCTACAACACTGCCAAGCATGAGAAACGTAGCTATTTTCTTTTATACAAAGCGTCTATGACGACTAACAATTTTCGTGCAATTTCTTTTAGTTTCCATTTGATGTGATTGAATGACTCAATGTTCGTAAAACGTTAAAAACCAGTTAGAAAAAAAATTATAATGTCTGAAATCAATTATTGTATTTTTTCTATCATTACTAATTTTAAAAAAATATAAAGTATGATAATAATTATATAAAGATAACTTAACTTAGATAAAAAATAAAAAATAAAAAATAAAAACCCTCAATTTTTGAAAACATAAACTTACCCAAATTTGGAAAATAATAACCTTTTCGGAAAAATCTTTTCCTTCCTTAAAACATTTTTGAAATGATTATTTTTTAATATAAACTAACAATCGGACTAAGAACTATTATACCTAATGACTAATTTTTTAGTGATACAAATTTTACAATTGTAAGTATTTTATCTTTTAAGAGACCTTAACTGTAAGAAGTATTTCGCTTTATATGTTTTTATTCCATGTATTTATAATCATTCTCTACTTAATTAACCCCGTAATCAAGTACATATATACATTTAATTTCCTTAATTTAGGACTCGATATCCCTAGTATTTTGTTTTATCCTTCAATTCCTTGATTTTTTTAAATACTAGTGCATATATCCGTGTTTAATAAATCTAAATTTAATTTACTTCATTTTAATTTTTTAATATTTTAATCTGAGTTTATAATTGTTTTCTTAAAACAATATAATTATATGTGAAATTAAATTATTATTATTTTCATAATAATTTCAATAGAAACTATCATATTATTATCGTTGTGTTATTATGAAAAAAATACTACTGTTAAGAATGAACACATAATGTTTCGAAAATGTCAGGAGTAAAATATCATTGATTTCTAATATACATATACATAATACATAGTATATATAATATATAATAGATAATATACATATTATATTGTTTGTGTAAATATGTTTAATTTCTATAACTCTATATAAACTACAATTATAAAATTCAATAAGAATTAATTATTTCTTTAATTAATGTTAAAAAGAATGTATGATTTTGGTTCTTACAAGAATGGAGGTAAAATAAGGTATTTGGCCTCGATTTTTAAAAAAAACCCAAGTCAAATATCTTTGAAAATTTTGAAATTTTTTTGCACATATTTTGACCTCAATTTTTGAGAAACAGAAGTAAAAAAGATATATGGTTTTGTCATATAAAATAATTAAAAAATAATAAAATTTGAAAATTTTGCATATCTTTTAGGTTAAGTTCTTTAATAATCGAAGTCAAGAGTAAATATATGATTTCGATTTCAAAACAACCAAATTTATAAGTTCACAAAATTTTTAAAATTGTGATCACATTTTTATAAATTTTATTTTTTTCAAAACTGAAACATATAAGAAAGAATGAAAAAATAAATCTACCCCAAAGTGTTCTTTTAAAAGCTGTTCCAAAATATTCTTTCAATTTGTGTAGTAAATAAATAGTTTATACTTTATTCAGTTCATAAAGTTCTTATATAAAGTGTCAATATTGGTTTATATTGTCCTCAATTGTTATTTACTGAGGAATCCATATCAACTTATTATGGTAACTTTAATGACTATAATTCTTGGATAATTCTCTTAGGAATCAAAGTAGTATCTTGTGAATTTAATAACATCCTCTTATCAAAGACTTCAGTATAAAAAAAGTCATTTTAAAATACTTTCGCTTAATTTAAATTATATTCTTTAAATTCAAGTGAACAACATCTCAAATAGGAGTATTTCTAATTCTTCTAACAATCACAACAAAAAGAGGATCAAATAGTCAAACAAGTGGAGTTCAAAGTTCACAGATGTGAAATTGTCAGAAACAACTTTCCAAATTGGATGTGATTGCATTTCTATTTAAATGGCAGAAACAACTTTTAAACAAATAGCAAAACTGAACGTTACAAATCTATCATGCAAAACAGCTCATCCAAAGCATAAAACAAGACTTTGAAATAAATTACTTACTGCAAAAACATTCAAACTAACACTAAATACATATCTGGGACTTGTATGGCTAACGATGATGCTTGCTTTCATCCCAGGTAATCAGAAGTGGGTACGTAGCACAATGGCAACAACCTGCAATTTTTGTGCAATCATTGATGTCTTTATTACAACATAAATAAAGACGGAATTGTATCTGTGTCAAATTGTAAATGAATGTAATTAAGTATCTGAATTCAAGATATAATTAAACTGTAACTGTTTCAATAAATTATATAACCATTACCTTTGAGAGTAGAACAAGACGTACTCATATATCTTAAATAACATCTCTATTTCCCGTAAATATAACTAGTTTTTATATGACAAAAGTTTCAATAGCGTAATTTTCTCATTAAAAAAGAAAATGAGCAATTTTTTATAATGTTCCTCGTCATCTTTTATAATAATAATAATAATAATAATAATAATAATAATAATAATAATAATAATAATAATAATAATAATAATAATAATAATAATAATAATGACAACAACACTATAAAAAGTACGTATAAATTATTGACAAGTAAGCTAAATATGTTATATTGTGACCATTATCTTGTGTTTTCCTGATGTCTGCTCAAAATTATTTTTGCAAATAGTGAAGAAACAAATATATTTATATAGTTATATAAATGTTCACAACTTTTGTTCAATTTCACTTTTCATTAACTGTTTTATATTAAACTGAAATAATTATCATATTATATTTGCTCTTTAAATTACTATTAATTTAAATTTAATCATTTTTAAATTTAAATAATTATTTTTTAACTTTATCTTTTAAAATGACTGTTTATTTAAATTTAATTATTTTTTAAAATCAAATTAATTATTCATAATAAAACATATATATAACACATGTATTTATATATATATATATATATATATATATATATATATATATATTATAGAAGATTAAAAAAGCTTAATATATTCTTCACACTATAAGTTGTAAAATATGAATAAATATGTTAAAAAAACTATCAATATATGATATTCATTCTACAATATAAAATATGCTCATCAAAATATGAGAATTTAATTTTTATGAATTAAAATGAAACATTTTTTCCAAAAAATATTATCTTATTTTTATTAAATCATTTAACATGAGAATAAATTAATATTATAATAATGCTTTCTAGCAACCAAATAAAATTTAGTCATTTTAAAAAATCTTAGTTAAAAAAATGGTTATTCTTCTTTTAACGTAAAAAAGTTATCTAATAAAATATGTTACGTGATGTGATACAAATATCTATTTTATCATTGGATTATTGAACAAAATTAAACACAGTTCAATCATGAAAACTATTTTTTTCTTTTTTCCTCTCTCTAAGTTACACACTAGTTAAAGCCACAAATGTTATAGCAAAGAGTGATTACTGAATTTGTTAAGTTAGGATCAAATAAAACAAACTACTCCTAACAATTGGTATACATTTCATTAAAGCTTTCTATTCAAAATATGTATTCCATTATATATATATATATAACTAACATACCTTTTTCTTGCAATCAAAGCACCAACAATACTTGGCATGCATATTATCGATATATACCATCTGTCAATCTGTTTAGGAACCTCAGATAAGTATTTCTCCAAGAATGCCAAAGTAGCATTGGCCCTAATAAGCCCCAAAATCCAGTGAAATATCCAATCCCCATGCTCATACACAGTGCTTCATAGAAACCATTATCTTCATCATCATTAACTGTTCCATCTTCTTGAGCCTTTATCGTTGTCTGATTTCCATCTTCAGGACAAGTTCTGTTAAGTTGTTCACCACAAAGGCCAACATTCCCTTCAAAACTAGAGACATCAAAAGTTCCAAAGTGTCTTCCTGATGGTATTCTTCCAGAGAGAGAGTTGTGTGACAAATCTAACTTGCCAAGAAAATCAATTTGAGAAAGTGAGAAAGGAATTCCCCCACTGATATGATTTCTTGATAAGTCAAGCGACTCTAGTGAACTTAAATTTCCTATCTCTGAAGGAATTTCTCCACTCAGATTATTTCTTGATAAATTCAAAGTAACTAACCCAAGTAAATATCCAACCTCTTTTGGTATATCACCTGTCAACTTATTACTTGAAAGATCAATGCTCATAAGCTTAAAATCTCGATTCTTGAACCACTGTTCCACACCTTTCCACATTAGGCTTATGTTAAGGGTATAGTCGCGGGAACCAAGAGTTGCATAAATTATACCATTCATATAAACCCAATATGTAAAACTTTCACCCGAGACGTCTATGTTTTCAGTTATTGCAGTCAAATTGTTTAAGCATGATGGAATTCCTTTTGATAACATATTCCTCGAAAGATCCAAGTATCGAATATCCT